TCAACCTGGCAGGCATTTTCAAAAATGTTCGGTTTCAGTGACCTGTATTGACAAGGAAATGTATTTGACTGCACACATATAATCACACAAGGCCTCGTACTGTAAGACACAAGTGCACTTCATATACTATAGTTGCCATTACTGGTTACGTTATTTTGCTATTGACATCTCGCTGTTACTACATATTATGTTAACTTGTGTAATGTGAAACAGTGTGGTTTTAGAATGTTACAGTTAGTTGCTTAGCAATCGCGTACCTATTCACATGCTTTGGATAATCATGGAATCACAGCGCGCTGTATAAACAGACGTTTCAGCGTTTGAGGGAATTGAAGAAGTATTAAAAATCCACTCAGGAAAAACTTGATAGCACAGTAGCACAAGGTCTATATGATGATGTGCAATGCTGGATCTGTTATGTAAACAGGTTGCATGGTGCATTTTTCCAATCAATGACACTGACTCAAATATGCAAATAAGAACGCTAACCTGGGGTATAGGAATGTATAACAGCCAAAAATGTGTCATTCTTGCTCAAAAATTGAACAGTGTTTATAATAATGCACGTACCTTTGTGTTGTGCTTGAACTTAAAACAGAACAATCCACGGTTTGAGAGCTGAGTCACTCTTTAACTTCTATTTATGCCTCTTTGGCATAGCGATCACTTGAATATAGAGCTACAAGTTCAAAATCTGAGCCCTTATTTCACTAAAAACATTAGCCTGTAAAATGTAGAAGTTTGAAAACTGCCGAAATTATCACAAATTTCGTCCACCAACCCAAACCAATTTTGACCCGCAATCCAAATCACATCCACCTGATTGGGCGGAAATCCACCCAATCTGGCAACACTGGTTCTGTTGTAATGTGCACAAGTGAAAGTTTTATTTGTACATTTATGTGAATCACAGTGGAGTTGTAATGTCATCTTGCCATTTTGTGATATTTTATGAGGAGCTATTTAGATAGTCTCACTGCCAGAGTCTTGAATTTCACTAATGTGGGACATTAAAGGTGAACATCCTGTTCATGAAGCATGTTTATTGTAATACTATGCCTTATATTATCATTGTGTGATAAAGATTTGCCTCCACTTTGGGGGGCTTAGCCTGTAATATGGGTGTTACAATTGCTTAAATCAATAAGAACTGGACATGGATGTTTTAGTTTTACCAATGCAAATGTTTCAGTGATTTTAGTAAATGATCTGTGGATATAAAGAGTTTTTATTTTGTGGGAAAAAGGGAAATATCATGTGCCTTTCCTTAACTTTGTGTCGGCAAATGTAAACAAAGTGCTTTAAAGTTGAGCCTGTATAATGCTGTTGTCTTTCTGAAAAAATAAAATAATAATAATAATAAATTGAATGCTCCTTGTATGTTTGTATGTTTATTTGCTAAATGGCATTAAAAATATTCACACATAATAGCTGGATTCTTGGAATGGTGAATTCCTAGTTGAACACAAGATTACTAATACTATTATAATACTACTTGTTTTATACACACATGTATTAATGAAATATAAGTGGTAATGTGATATAGACTCTATTGTCTGAAAAAAATGGACAATTTCTTTATCTTACACTCTTTGAAGACATTGAACATTAGTAACCCTAATATAAGCATAGTACCGATGATAAAGCAAGCAACACTTTTTTTCTGTATGAATATTGCTCATCCCTCTAGTGGTCAAATGCTGTATTAGTTTCATTTTTTTTGAGGGTGCGCTTTCACCAGCTTGCTTCGAGTTATAGCAAATGCAGAAATTAAAAGCGTAAACGATTATATCTAAGCTATAAAATGGCAGACTTTTGGCTGAGAAGTGCAAAGGATGTTATGTTTACGATACAGAAGCATTAGGTGGAAACTTAGGCCTACATTTGATGCAGGGTATTATTTACAAGAAGAAGAAAAAAACATGGGAGCTTTGTAGTACTCCACAGTCCACAAAATAAAGTTAAAGCCCTATTCGGACGGGACTAGTTTTACAGGGGGTCGTTAGAGAAATTTGGGTTTCACAGACGTAGCCTACTGTGTTTTTCTCACACAACCTCTGTAATAATTCCAGAGCAAATTACCTACAGTTTTTCAGCAAACTCAGTGATCCTCTGAGAAAACGAATCCCGTCGAATGCGAATGTCTGTGATTGTGATATTTTTTTCCACAACGCGTTTCCTTGTGCGTTCTGGCCAACATGAATTACCGTAGATGCTCCGGGCGCATGTTGGATATATTTGCCTCCTGGCAAAGAATAAACAAACAAAAAACAATAATAAAATCAAGAGCCAGATTACGTAAACCCTTAAGACTGGCTATTGTAATATCAGCGTCAGGTAAGATTACTCACGTTTACTTCTGCACTCAATTAGGCTACATAATGGTTTAACATGTACCTTTATGAAAATTAAACATGGGTTTACTACAAAAAAAATAGTTAAATCAAAGTAACCACACATTAACATGGTTTTGCTATACTAGCCATTTAGTATAGTCTGGTCATCACCATGGTATTTTTAGTCAAACTGATTATACTAATGGACTGCGGTCAAACCAGCCGCGCTTTCTAATGGTAATCAATCAGAATGACTATGCGCAATGCACACATACAGAGCGCGTGATCTCTGAAACGCCCAGATGTACAAAACAGACCCACCCACCTCTGTAATAAACACAGGAGATAGTCCCGTCCGAACTGGTACATTCAAATTGCCGACGTCAGGTGACTTTAGAAAACTAGTCCTGTCCCAGTAGGGAGCTTCATGAAGCTGTGATTCGAATCACTACAATCCGATTCGTCCATCACTACAGAAGCTGAAAAAGATGTTTGTTTCGTGTGCAGATGAAAGAGAAACGTCGCGCATAAGGAGGCTTTAACCGGTGAAACAGCAATGACAGAGCACTTAAACCTTCAAGGAATTTGTAGTCATTTTAAAACAAAATGAAGAATGTCTCGAATTTGCTCTCATTGCTCATGTATTTTCTCGCGTATGGTAAGACATTTTAATGTTAGAATCTCTTCAGGTCAATACGAACGTAACGCAGTTTAGTTTACATTCGACACATTGTAATATCTGTATTTTACTTGAGCATTGTAAGACATTTATTTGTTACAGTTTCTTTTCTGGTACGATACAAACGAACAATGCGGTAGCCTTAACGTGTTTTGTGTGTTGTTGTTTGGCTCGTGATTAACTGTTCATTTCTTCTTCAGGTGTGTCCGGTGTTGATACAGAGGGAGGGACAGTGTCTGTGATGGAGGGAGATTCAGTCACTTTAAAATATCTTATAAACCAACAAGAAGACATTATGTGGTATTTTAATAACATTTCCATCGCAGAAATCACTGGAGATCCCAGTAAGATCTGTACAGGTATTCGGTGTGATAATCGTGCAGAGAGATTTAGAGACAGACTGAAGCTGGATCATCAGACTGGATCTCTGACCATCACAAACATCACAATCACAGACTCTGGACTCTATGATGTATGGATCTCCAGCAAAAATCGCGGCGGTGGAGGATCCTACTCTGTTGTTGTTCATGGTAAGTCATTGTTTTTAAAAGCAACCCAGCAAGCAATAGCCGTCATTTCAACGTCTCGGTGAAGTATAGACCCGATATAGTCCGGCTATGTGTAACCCACATCTAGCCCAAATAACCTTGAATTTGGTTTCATGTCGTTTTTTGGCAAAATAATGACCTTAAATATTAATTTATTTTATTTAAGAAATTGCTCCTGAAGCATTTCCACTTTAAGGGATTAAATTAAATACAACAGCAGTAAAAGGTGAATCTCCCCCTCCTTGTACTATCACTGACGCCAATATAGGGCAGGTAAATCACTTTTCAGAGTCTGTCTTTATGTTCTGGTTAATTTCATCATAATTATCATCATACAACTGAGTTAGGTCTTTAATTATTTTCACACCTAAATATTTTAGGAATATTCATTGTTGCTTCTTCTAAAATGTTTTATTGATTCAGCTAAAATGAAGATCAATACATAATCCCTGGAAACAACAAATCCTGTTTGACAAATTGGACCAGTGGTTTTATATGGATTATACATTGGTCTGATTTATCATCAAAACTTAACCTTTCAAGCATTAAATATAGGAAATCCCAATTAAATTCCTATATGTTGGGAAAAATGCCAAAATTTAATTTTGTATTCTAAATATTCATCTAATTCAAGAAAACAGCACTATCGTTTGATAGTTCTTAACTAGAAACAACTCATACAGAGACATTTTTTGCCTTTGGATATCTTGAAATTCTGGGGCATTATAACTGCATTTCGAAATAGGCAATGCTTTTTGACTCGATAGTGCTCGATAATGTCCTCACATCACAATATTATCGTAGATGATGCATATCGCACACCCCTATTTACATTATGAATTTACGTTATACGTATTTCTCTTCCCACAATCTTTTTGATCTGAAAACAACTTTTCATTGCACTTTACTGTTGTATAATTTTGTTCTTTGCTCATAAGGAACTGTTCGTATCTTCTTTAGGTGTGTCTGCTGTTGATAAAGATGAAGTGTCAGTGATGGAAGGAGATTCAGTCGCTCTACACACTGGTGTTAAAACAAACCAACAAGAAAAAATTAAATGGTATTTTAATGACATTCGAATAGCTCAAATCAGTGTAGACCAGAGTAAGATCTGTACAGATGTTCAGTGTAAAAAAGGTGATGAGAGATTCAGAGGCAGGTTGAAGCTGGACAAACAGACTGGATCTCTGACCATCATGAACATCACAACTCAACATGCTGGACTTTATAGACTACAGATCATCAACAGCAGAATCGGCATCATGAAGAGATTCAGTGTTACTGTCGCTAGTGAGTATAATTTAGTGTTGATGCTCATTAAATATGTACATCTTTGATCTCGTAGGTTGATCCACAAGTAGTCAGAGAAGTCATTAAAGGATTAGTTCACTTCCAGAATTAAAACTCCCTGATAATTTACTCACCCCCATGTCATCCAAGATGATCATGTCTTTCTTTCTTCAGTCGAAAAGAAATGAAGGTTTTTGAGGTAAACATTCCAGGATTTTTCTCCATATAGTGGACTTCAATGGTGGCCAATGGGTTGAAGGTCCAAATTGCAGTTTCAATGCAGCTTCAATCGATCCCAGCCAAGAAATAAGGGTCTTATCTAGTGAAATGATCGGTCATTTTCTAAAAAAAAAAAATATATAGATTTTTAACCAAACTAGCTTTTTAACCACAAATGCTCATCTTGCACTAGCTCTGTGACGCGCATGCATCTTCATGCATTGTGTAATCACGTTGGAAAGGTCACATGCGGTTAGTTCTTCATTTGTATATTACAGTTCAAAAAGGTAGGGCGAAAAACTCCATCTTATTTTCTCCACCAACTTCAAAATTGCCTGACGTTGTTTTACTTTTTATTTTTTTCTGAAAGTTGTTTGACTTTGTTTGCACGTTCGCTTTGTAAACACTGGGTCGGTAATTTCACCTACGTCACACGTGCGTGATTATGTAATGCGTGAGGTCGAGCTAGTGAAAGATGAGCATTTGTGGTTAAAAAAAAAAAATTTTTTATTATTATTATTTTTTTTAGAAAATGACAGATACCTTATTCCTTGGCTGGGGTCGTGTACAGCCCTTTGAAGCTGCATTGAAACTGCAATTTGAATCCTGGAATGTTTTTCTCAAAAACGTTAATTTTTTTTTTTCAACTGAAGAAGGAAAGACATGAACATCTTGGATGACATTGGGGTGAGTAAATGATCGGGAAAATGTTATTCTGGAAATTAACTAATCCTTTAAGTATAAGTTCATCCATGAGACTCTTGTATGTTTGTCTGATGAGTGAATATGTAAATCAATGGTTTTCTGCTGTTCATTTGCATGTGATAGGTTATGAATCCTGACATATTTTTCTACCCACAGTATATATGATCTGTGGGAACAGGACTTTCCTATTGTATAATTTTGTTTAGTGTGTAATGAATTGTTCATTTCTTCTTCAGGGTCATCTGGTGTTGGTACAGATGAGGTGTCAGCATCTGTGATGGAGGGAGATTCAATCATTCTAAATACTAATGTAACAACAAACCTACAAGAAAGGATTAAATGGTTTTTTAATGACATCCGTATAGCTCAAATCAATGGAGATCTCCGTAAGATCTGTACAGATGACCAGTGTAATAAAGGCACTGAGAGATTCAGAGACAGACTGAAGCTGGATCATCAGACTGGATCTCTGACCATCAGCAACATCAACGAAAACTGAAAATATTTAGACCATTTTCAGAATATCAACAAATAATGTTTTTCAGGCTTAAAGTTGAGATGGGGCGTAAGGAATTCCTTTCATATCCACAGATCTTGATGTTGTGTAGTTAGTTATTTTATTTATTTTTTGTCTCAGAAATTCACATTTATTTCTAAAGCACTGAATAAAACAACAGCGTTGACCATAGTGCTGTACAAACAGTAACACGAATCAGCAGGATCAGATTCAGCATCATTAGGAGCTTCATTGTTACTGTCACTGGTGAGTATCACTTAGTTACTTAAGTCCATTTTTCTATGAACAGTTTTTAAGTAAAGTTTGAATTTTTAAATCATCCAGTAATTTTAATTTTGGCCTATATTGAAATATAATTGAGATCATCACCTTCATATGCACATCTAATGACAGTTGTCAAAACAAACATGCTGTTCACAATACTAATGTTATTAACATGAACAATGTGTAATAATCAGTTGTAATGTGTTGGTGTTTCTTGTTGAGCTCGCAGTGTTGTGATGCTGTTTTAGCTGCTGCTCTACAAAAACAACATCAGATGGTGCCAATTACCAGTTAAAGGGGTCATATGATCCTGCTAAAAAGAACATTATTTTGTGTATTTGGTGTAATGAAATGTGTTTATGCGGTTTAAGGTTCAAAAAACACATTATTTTCCACATACTGTACATTATTGTTTCTCCTCTTTGCCCCGCCTTTCTGAAACGTGTCGATTTTTACAAAGCTCATCAGTCTGAAAAAGCGAGGTGTGCTGTGATTGACCAGCTATCCAGTGC